TTGCAATTGCGCTGTGTCTAATCTGCATCCCTTTTCCGCAAAAGGGTGCAGTCGAGACACAGCCTGGCATATGGGTTGCAAAAGGAGCTGAGGCATGGGGGGGATGGGTCAGCAGGTGCACCCTGGGGGCCTGGCTGGGCACCTCTAGGATCAGGGTGCCTGTCTGGCAAGAGCCCCCATGTGCGGCTAGAGGAAGGGCCGGCCATGGGATTTCTTCCCATCAGAAATTTCCTCTTCTACAGGGAAAAGAAACAACCCACAGCCCTGTCTCCTGGCCTTCCCCCACTGGCGAACCCAGCTGGGTAACTCCCCCAGTCCTCTTTACGCCTTTCCTTCACCAGCGACATGACTCTCCTGCTTTCAAAAGTGGGGAAACTGAGGCATCGAAATGCTCAAGGCCACCCAGTGGGCCAGTGGCAGAGCTGGTCCCATTGCAGGGCTCGGTGCATCAGGCCACGCTGCCTTCCTGGTGCAGGAAGGGGTGTCCCACTCACATCCCATCCCTCCCTTCCAGGCACTGGAGCAGGGAGAGACATTGGTTCCATCACCAGTGCCAAACCACCCTACAACCCCGAGTCCTGGAGCCTCGGTCGGCTTGTGGGGCTCAGAAGCTGGGCAGATACAATAGTGCAGACACTGGTATCCTCTGGGAGCTAGTCATGCCACTCGGTTCTGATCAGACTCAATGAAATGTAAGATCAGGCTCTAGGTCAAGTCAGACGATGTTGGGATGAACCCCGAGGTGATTCCAAGGTGATCGCCCACAATGGGGTGTCTGTGTCTCTCCTGGGATAAAGCTATATCTAGTCAAACTTGTTTCGAAGTCGATCAGAAAGGAAGGGCCAGGCAGAGGGAGCACATGTCCCCGTTGGGCCCAGAAAGGGCCAGGGCTGTGCAGGGGTCAGCAACAACCCCAGCTCCTCGGAGGGACCCGAGCTGGACCATCCCGGCCCTTCCTCCGCAGCAGCTGTGAAGGCCGAACGGTTGGTTCGGGAACACGCCTGGCCCATCCTATGTGCATCCCCAGGCTGCGGCATTTGAACTATGTGAGCGGAATGGAGAAACATGGCATCAATCTCCACATGGGGAGCTCGAACTCTGTAATAATTGTGGTCTGAAGACACTGGTGCAAGGACACTCCTTGGTGCACTGGTGCACGGACACTCTTTGGTGCACTGGTGCAAGGACACTCTTTGGTGCACTAACATCATTTTCAGGGCGATGTTATCTCATTCCTAGTGGACTGTGGAAAACGTGGAAGAGTGCCTATGGCCAGTGCTGGGTTTATTGCTTAACCTGTTGGCATCACAGCTGCATATTTACAATACACAATGCATCTTGAGGAGCAGACTGTGAGGGGCGCACCAAGGGAAAGTGACACCCCCTGTTATAGGCTGGTGAATGGAACCAAGTCACCGTTAGTCCCTGAATAGTTTTGTTTACAGGTTTCCTTTTACGGTAACAGTGAGTTGCCCTGCCCACATCCTGCTCTCTCCAGTACACTCAGATGCATTTCCTCTATCGACGGGGTATATAACATCACGATCTGTTCGCTGACAGTCAAAGCTGCAGGGACCTTTTGCTTCCTGTTGAAATGAAACCTGCGAAGCCCAGTGTCACTCGTTCTGGCAGAGGACGGAGTCGGGATTAGAGTCTCTGCGCCCAGGTGGGGGCTGAGTCGCTGGCACCGTTGGTAAGTCGCTTGTTCCTTTGCAATTGTTGCCGTCACCGTTTTATGCTGTTCGAGGTCCCGGATTGTTCACACCCGGCCCTTGGCGGACGAGGGGGCTTGTCCAGCAGCGCTAAGGCCGCTTTTGGGTCGTCTCTTTGCTCCAATAAGTAGAGACACCGGCACTTGTGCTGCTCCCTAGACTGTCCCTGACTCTATTGAACTTCTAAAGCGGGACGCTAAACGCAGGATCCTGGGCCCCCCCTGGCTGATCGCCTGGCTGGGCTTTAGTCATCCCCACCCTGCTGAATCCCCTGACTCCAGCCACCTGCCACCCCTGTTACATGAGCTCAGTGAGCAGGTTCCCGCGACACCCCGACGTACAACCCCCCCCAACACTCCCAGAGACGTCTCCCCTGAAAGAAATATCCCCTGCGCCGGGGTCAGTGACTTAATCGACTCCCCAGAGCAGCGGGGGAGGGGCGTTGGCTCCCTCTCTCGTCCCTCGATGGCTGGTGGCTGAGGAGAGGTTATTCCCCAGTCGGCGCCTGCCAAGCGGCCGGGGGAAGCTGCAGGAGCCGGACCCGGTCACAGCCCGGCAGGGTGGAGGGGGCTGCAATGAGGCTGCGTGACCCCTACACGCTCTGAGTTCCTGCGGCCTCTTGGCACCAAGGAATCCATTCATTAATCAACCCTCTCCCCCCTCCCCCAAAATGGAACGGCATAAGAACATAACAACGGCCAGACTGGATCAGACCAAAGGTCCCGTAACGTTCCCACAGTTCAACCTCCAGCGCCTCCTTCCCACGGGCCAGAGGAATCCCCGGCCAGCCAGAGCCTCGGGACCGGTCAGCGACACCCCAGGTGGGCGCCCTCCACGTGCAATGAGGGGCCCATCCACACTCACAGCCCCCAGAGACCCACTCGGTGGGAGCCGAGCAGTCACCCGCCGGCCTGCCGTGTGCGTCGGATGGTGGGGACCTGGCCCGCCCCTTTGGGTCTGTGCCCCTGTCTGCTCCCGGAGGGCACATTCCTCCCTGGACTGCAGAACTGATCCGTGAGGAAGATTACACTTGAGTGCTACAGGCAGAGGACAGTGGAGCAGGGAGAGGCAGGCCCTGTGCTGTGCCCCGTGTCTGACTGGCCCCAAATCCTGAGATTTCTATTCTCACACATGTGGACATTTAAATGGATTAAAAATTGAAAACAAAAGTCTCAAAATCCACAATTTCCCACAAGCACGAACATTGAAATAGACCAAAATGAAGAACCGCCCCCCCCAATGCTTAAAACCCAGGATTTTACACAGCAGCGGTGATTTAAATGGAAAACCCCTAAAGACGTCACGTGTGCACAACTGTGGGGACTGAAATGGCTCCCAACTGCAAAAAATGCTTAAACCGCAACATTTTACACAGGTCTGGGAATTTAAACAGCAACCAAATAAAATGCTACAAGGCCCGTACGGACGCCCTTCTGGGAGCTGAAATGAATCCCCCCCCCCCAGCTCTCTCATTTCCCAAATGGAAAACCCCTAAAGACGTCACGTGTGCACAACTGTGGGGACTGAAATGGCTCCCAACTGCAAAAAATGCTTAAACCGCAACATTTTACACAGGTCTGGGAATTTAAACAGCAACCAAATAAAATGCTACAAGGCCCGTACGGACGCCCTTCTGGGAGCTGAAATGAATCCCCCCCCCCCAGCTCTCTCATTTCCCCCCGGGTGGGACGGAGGCTGAGGGCATCTGGGGCTGGAGTCTTGGTGCAGGGCCAGGTGGGAGGGGAGGGTTAGCGACCCCTTAAACCAGGGTGGGGAACCTCAGGACCAGGGCCCGGCTGTGGCCCCCCCTTGCCTTGGATCCAGCCCCAGAGGTTCAGGGCTCCCCCCCCCCGAGCGCTGGGGATCCTGCATTGGTGCCCAGCCCCTCCCCACTCCCCGCGGG